GAAGTTAGAACTTTCTTGAAAAGCTTTGGTCTTTCCTAAAGTATCAGTTTACCTTTCTTGTGTATCATTGATCAAAAGAAACTCATGCCTTCATCTCATCTGTAGCACACCAGAGTAATATGTATCCTTGAAGCTGTTTTCTCCAGAACCCATGTTTCTAAGTGTGTGCAAAACTGTATTGCTGGGATTTCCAACGAATGCACTTCTGGATTCCACTGCTGCATGTTGTTTGGTTGGGTGTTTTGTCTTAATTAGACATTGTTCTTCTTTTTTTTTTTTTTCACAGTTTGTCATTTGATAAGACATCTATTTCTTGGAATTATTTTTCATTTTTGATGGATTTTTTTTTCAAGTAAGTGTTTTAGAAAAGCTGAATGGGAGCAAACATTGCCTTTTCGTGTTAGAAAATATCTGTATTTTGTCCTTGATAAGTAGCATGGCTAGGTTTAGAAGTGAAGGAACAAAATTTGGACCCAGCCACCCCACCCCTTATGCACAGACACATAAAAGCACACTTTCAAGGCATTATGACTTTATTGTCTGCGATCCAGCATTGTCTTAAGAAGCCTGATGCCAATCTGAGTCACATTCCTTTATGGGTAATCTATTTCCCTCTCTGATAAATTGTCTTTCCTTAGAGATTTCATCTATGTGTTTCATCTTTTTTCATTTTTTCTTCTTTACATTTGGCAGGCCCTTTCAGTCTGAAAACTACAATTTGTATCATCAGTTTAGGAAATGTTCTTTGTCTCCATTTTTCTATTCTCATTTTCTGAAGTTGCTATTGGACAAACGTTTTATCTCCTGGCTCTTGGATACCTCTACCATTCGTAACTTTTTCTTGATCTTTTTGCTATATGTTCTGGAAGATTTCCTCAGTATTATCTTGCAGTTCACTAATTTATCCTCTTCAATGTCACCTTTATTTTTTTTCTTGAGACAAGGTCTCACTCCGTCTACCAGGCTGGAGTGCAGTGGCACAATCTCAGCTCACTGCACCCTCAACCTCCTGGGCTCAAATGATCCTCCTGCCTCAGCCATTGAGTAGCAGGGAACACAGGCACAAGCCACCACACCCAGCTAATTTTTGTATTTTTATAGAGACGGGGTTTCACCATGTTGCCCAGGCTGGTCTTGAACTCCTGAGCTCACGCAATCTATCCACCTCAGCCTCCCAAAGTGCTGGGATTACAGGTATGAACATGACATACCCGGCCAGGGTCACTTTTATAAGCCATCTCATTTTTAAAAATTTCTATAACTGCCTGAATTTCCAAGAGTGTTCCTATTCTGTTCTTTTCAAAATAATCTCTTCTTACATTATGGATGCAGTAGCTTCTGAAATCTCTGTGAAAATTATTAGAATTATTAGAATTCTAAAGTTATCAGAATTTCTTAAATTGCAGCCGGTCAAGGGGGCTCACGTCTGTAATCCCAGCACTTTGAGAGGCCAAGGCAGGTGGATCACAAGGTCAGGAGATCGAGACCATCCTGGCTAACATGGTGAAACCCTGTACTAAAGTACAAAAAATATTTTAGTATTTTTTTGAATCCGGGAGGCGGAGGTTGCAGTGAGCCGTGATCATGCCACTGCACCCCAGCCTGGGCAACAGAGCAAGACTCCTTCCAAAAAAAAAAAAAAAAATCTTAAATTACTTTTTGTTTCCATGATTACTTAAATTTCCTGTAGGGCCAGGTGTTGTTGTGTTTTGGA